GTCTTGGAATTAACTAGGTAGCCCAGGCTGTTCTCAAACTCTTGATCCTCCTGCTGCTTCCTCCCAAATGCTAGGATTACAGGTATGTGTTGCCATGCCTGGTTCTGAAGTTCAAGCTTATTATAGAAAAATTCAAATAAAAAAGTAAGAAAATAGTGCAATGAACACTCATGTAGTGACTGCCTAGCCTCGGGGGGAAGTTCCACTCGAGGTCAGCCTGCCTTTGTTCACATCCCCATCCACCACACTCTATTTTGAAAAAAATCCCGTATATATTTTATGTATTTCAGTATGTAGCTATTGTGACTTTAAAATGACCTCAATATCATCACCATGTCTAAAAAGTGGATAATTCCTTAATATCACCAATATTCTATTATGTACATTTCTGATTATCTGAAAAAGAAACAGCTGTTTCTTGGAGCTCTAATTAAGTTCTAAATACTATCATTGGTTGTTATGTCCCGCAAACATTTTGAAAGCTGTGGTTTTCTCCTTTCTCTTTTTGTTCATCTTCTTGTAGTTTATTTGTTGAAGACCCAGGTCACTGTCCCATTGTCCCCGCAGTCCTTGGTCCTGACTGAAGCACTCCCATGTCATTGAACACATTGCTCTGGACCCTGTGACTAACTCCGATACTTTGCCAGGTGAATCTAGAAGCTGGATTAGACACAGTGTGTTAGTTGTCTTATGCTGGGACCGAATACTGGACAAAATCAACTTAAGGAAGGAAGGGTTTATTTTGGGTTATTGAACCAGGGGATATAGTCCATCATCATGGGGAAAGATGGCAGCAGAGCAGGAGGCAACTGGTCACATTGCATCCACAGTCAGGAAGCAGAAAGTGGTTTCTCCCTTTTTTTAAAGAAAATTTTATTTATTATTTAAATTTATGTATATGAGTGCATGCATGTAAGTGCACCCGTGTTGTGCAATGCCCACAGAGGTCAAAAGAGGGCGTTAGATCCCCTGGAACTGGAGTTATGGACAATTGTTAGCCCCCATGTGGGCGCTGGGAACTGAACCTGGGTCCTCTGCAAGAGCAGCCAGTGCTCTTAAATACTGAACCATCTCTCTAGCCCACTTGCCCACTTTCTCCTTTGTTTTTGTTTTTGTTTTGTGTTTTGTCTTTTTGAGACAGGGTCTCCCTGTAGCCCCAGCTGGCCTGGAACAGACTGTTAGACCAGGCTGGCCTTGAGCTCACAGAGACCTGCCTGCCTCTGCCTCCTGAGTGCTGGGATTAAAGGCATGTGCTACCATATCCTGCTCCACTTTCTCCTTTTTATGCAGTAAATATAGAATGTCATTTAAGTTCAATTAACCTCAATTGATCTAATCTAGATAATCTCTCAAAAGCATGCCTAGATGCTTGTCTGGTAGGTGACTCTAGAACCTATCAAATTGACAAGCTTAACCATCACACTGGGGTTTTTTTCCCCCAGAACTCTTCCCTAGGTGCTAGAAAAGTGTATATAAAAGTAGAAATATTGGAAACAAAACAAACTATCAAAGCTAGGTAGCCCATTCACTTGAAATCTTGATGCCAAATGGAGAGCCCTGTGAGGCTGTTTGTGCTGGGAGGGTCTTGCAGTATGTTCAGGTTTATCCCACCTGGGTCAAATGAGATGTCACTACCCTCACCTGTGACATGCTTTCTTTTTTCTTTAAAATTTATTTATTTTTATTTTATGTGTATGAGTATTTTGCCTGCAAGTTCATCATTTGCATGCAATACCCCTAGAGGCCAGAAGAGGGCATCAGATCCCGTGGAACTGGAGTTACAGTAGCTGTTTGCCACCATGAGGGTGCTGGGAACCAAACCCCGGTCTTCTGCAAGAGCAGCCAATGCTCTTAACCACTGAGCCACCTCTCCAGCCCCTTACCTCTCTTTTCTTGATTTGCACCACCTGGCAGCAGCATGGATGTATGTTCTGTGGGTCCAGTTTCCTGTGGCCCTTCAAAAGTCCTTATTTCCAACTACTTGGTGAGAAAGGGATCAGCACTTAACTGCCAGCTACTGTGAGGCACTGAGCACTCAGATCGATATTTAGTGGCTCAAAAAAAAAATTTTTTTTTTTGGTCTTTTTGAGACAGGGTCCCGCTGTAGCCCCAGCTGTCCTGGAACTCACTATGTAGACCAGGCTGGCCTTGAATTTACAGAGATCCACCTGCCTCTGCCTCCCAAGTGCTGGGATTAAAGGCCTGGGCCACCACGCCCGGCTCTAATTTTTTTTTTTTTTAACTGAGGTGCCTGGCCCTTTTGACAGGGACATCAAACTAGCTTGATTTTAAAATATTATATATATTTTATTGTGTGTTTTTTGTTTGTTTTAGTTACAAAAGTAACTCATGATCATAAGGAAAACCTTGAAAATAATGGATAATAATATCTTTGGTAATTACATTGGTTTCCAAATTTTCACTCAGATCTTTGCTCATATGACATCTGAACAGAAAGTGAAAGTCCCACCTCAACTCCAGTGTCAAGCATAACTATAGCTAGTAGCAAACCATTCTTTTTAAAAAAATATTCTATTATTTTCATTTTGTGTGTATGAGTGTATTATCTGCATGTGTGTAAGTGCACCCGTGTCGTGAAATGCCCATAGAGGTCAGAAAAGGGTCTCAGATTCCCTGGAACTGGAGTTACAAACATTTGTTAGCCACCATGTGGATGTTGGGAATTGAACCCAGGTCCTCTGCAAGAGCAGCCAGCACTCTTAATCACTGAGCCATCTCTCCAGCCCCTAGACCATTCTTTTTCATGGCTTTGTAGTATTCAATAGAGTGGGGAGGAAAATGATTTATTCTTTCCATCCCTCAGCTAAAACTGGAAATAGCCTTGAGTGGTAGCAGGAATCATGAGTTCTATTCAGCCACAGTTCTCTGAGCCTGTTTCTTTTGTTTACAAATAAAAGAAGGCAGAGGAGACAGTTTTTGACAGTAACCAATTAAATGTACAGTAAAATACCATGGAATACAACCATTCACCTCTAGCAAAAATTAGGAGTTTTGGTGAAATTTATATGCTTAGTCTTGAAAAACAATCTGGCAATGTATATCAGATCACAAAATATTAGTGTCTTTGATGGTTGTTTTTAAATGTCAACTTAATTGGGTCACAGGGTGCCTCCATATTTGATAATTAGAGTATTTCTGGTGCTGGACATGTTGACCTATTCCTGTTAATCCTGGCATTTGGGAGGTGGGGGAGGAAGACTCAGAGATCCAAGTTCATCCTCACTTACATAGTGAGTTCAAGGTCAGTGTGGGCTACATGAGACCCTAGCTCAAATATATTTTTTCTGAATATGTTTGCAAATGACTGAGATGAACATTTAATTTAGTAGACTGAGTAAAGCTGATTGCCCTTCCCCTGGTAAGTGGATGTGGCATTGCAGCTTGCTAATTTGTGTGTGTGTGTTAGTGTGTGTGTGTGCATGTGCATACTCATAGGAGTGCAAGCATATGTGTATGCATATGTGTGTAGAAGTTGATGCTGGGTGTCTTCCTGTATCACTTTCCACCTTTTTGAGACAGGCTCTTTCACTGCCCTCAGAGCTCACTGATGGTCTAGACTAGCTGGCCATTGAGCTCAGGGGATCTGCCTGTCTCCACTGTGTCTAACTTTACAAGGTGCTGGGGATCCAGACTCACATTCTCAAGCTTGCACGGCAGGCACTTTACCAACTGAGCCATCTCCCCAGCTCCTTTACAATTCCTTAGAGTCAATTTTATATATATATA